AATTAGTGAAAATTATTAAATTAATATAATGCTGGTCTAGTAGAAAGTCATCCATTATTTTTGCAATAGATGACTCTAATGATCTGTACCTCGCGTTTCATCAGTGCAATTGGACTATACTGAATGGCATTAGAAAGATGATATTTGGTACTAAAAACATTAATCATTCATCACTCAAATACGCCTTTGATAAAGGCGAAAACGTAATTCAATTATTATAAGTTTTATTTTAATTATAATTTATTTTTTATTTAATTTTCATTTAATTATTATTTTTCATTATTATTTCTATATATTTTTTATTTAACGAATAAAAAAAAACAAAAAAATACACTGAAACATAAACTTTTGTGATAGAAACTTTATGATACTGCAGCTTAATATCACTCTGCTCGCTGGTTAGCTTAGTAACCCATATTTATTTTCAAATATACATACCACCATAAAGATACAAAAGTAATGCTAATGCATCTTTTGTTATGTGCGTCATATATTTATGCATATATATATATATATATATATGTATGAGCCATCGCTATCGGTAGCAAGCCACGAATCTATTGTAAAGGCAGTAATTGTTGTAGTGGTGCTTTCACACTTTTCAATATTCTCACTGCCATGCACACATATACGAGTATGTATATATTTATTGATACAAATATGTATATACTATTATTATTATTATGATTTATAAGTTTTCATTGCAAATCAAATGCATCTACAAGCGTCTATATGCAAAGCACTCATATGCCTCACTGCAACTACATATGCACATACATATGCATGTGTGTGCATTTTGTATACATGTGCGATGTATTGCATTGGTCGGGGGTTGAACACGCTAAACGCTTTCAACTTCAACGTTTATTGAAAAATTTCCATTTGCTTTGCTTAACGCTTTAATTCAATTTCCTGCCTCGTGTTCAACCGCAGGCGACCTTTATGACCCACTTACGCTGACAGCTTTCGCCTACTCGTTCGCTCGTTTTTAACCTGCACATCCTCATTTGGCTTGGGTGTTGGTTTTGTGGGAAATTGTGCCAAAGTAGAATTTTAACGCTAAAGTTGTTTTGTTTTGTTTTGGTTTGTCGCAACGCGACTGAGCCAAGTAAACGAAAATTTCGCTGAAAATGAAAGTTAAAGTATGAAGAAATGGGTAAGATGATTTGTAGCCAGATTAGCGAAAGCCTCTCTGCCGCTGATTTGGCGCAGTTTATTCTGTTGATATTGTGTGTCGCTTTTTTGTTCCTAGATCTTTGCTTTTCGTTCCAAAGTATGACTTTTGCTGTTAGTTTTATGTATTTATTATATTCTCCTTATTAATGTTTTTCTTGCTTTTTCTTTTATTCCTAACTTAGTTTTATTCCTATTTTTCTGTTATAATTTTCAATTTATTTTCTAATGTCTTTTCCTATTGTTTTATTTGGTTTCATTAATTTTATATTTATTTTTGTTTGTTTTCACATTTGTTTTTTTTTAGTAGTTTTTTTCTTCTTATTTTGCATTAGACTTTTTCATGTTCAAATGTTTTGATCTCTGTTTTAATCAACTTTTTTTTAAATTAATTTCGTGATCTTAAGTCAATCTTCAAGTGTCAATCACACTCATACAAACCATTTGCGCCAAAAAGTATGCAACAAGTTGGGAGAAACTTAGTTTCCCTGTTCAACTGTACACTCACTGGTTTCTCTTTATGATGCCGCCTGGAAGTAAACGTTTTTACTTTATTTCGCAGCTTAAACCTAGCTCAATTAATTTCCCATAGATATCATGTACCTCTTTATGCTTTTAAATTATAATAAATATTTTATCGAATAAGAAAAAAAGTTATGCAGCTCCAATTATTTTTATAAAGTTCATACACACCGTATTTCAATAACTGTTTTTTTTACTTAAAAATTTTTTTTCTAAAATTTACATATTGTTATTTTCGAAATTTGGTTTTTGCAATTTTTTGCATCTTTTTTTTTCTTACAAATGCATACATATATGTATAATATATATATTATCTGGAATGTAAACGACATGTATTCGCATCGCTTACGGGCCTTGATAGGGAATAGAACCTGGATTTTCAATTCTGTTACGGTTGTGCTTTCTCGGATGATATTAACCCACCCTGAAAATATTCCAAGTATAATTAATTCTAAATAATTAAGAAAACGAATTGAAATAAAAGAAAAATAAATTTAAAAAAAAATTAATTAAAATAAAATAAACAAAATTTATAAATTAAAATAAAATACAATGATATAAAATAAACTAAATTGGCTTAATATAAAAAATAAATAAAATAAAAAAATAGATAAAAATAAAATAAAATAAAATAAAATAAAATAAAATAAAATAAAATAAAATAAAATAAAATAAAATAAAATAAAATAAAATAAAATAAAATAAAATAAAATAAAATAAAATAAAATAAAATAAAATAAAATAAAATAAATTAAATTAAATTAAATTAAATCAATTTAAATTAAATTGAATAAAATAATTTGAAATAAAATGAAATAAAATGAATTGAAATGAAATTAAATGAGCTGAACCGAAATAAAATGAAAGGAAAAAAATAGAATAAAATAAAAATATTTAATAAATTAAGCTGCCAACAAAATAAGGTTTCTAAAATGGAAAATTCTAAAGACTAGAAATGCGTTTCTGCTTATTACGACAGTATAAAAGAGCCTAAAGTTATGCAAGGAAATAATTATATTTTACTTTTCTCTATTTGATCTACTTACATGGACATTTCTGATCATGAAAAAAAAAAATCTTTTAAGAAGTCCAAAATAAATCATGAAAATATTTACTTCAATTTAGATTTAATTACTACATATATTTCCTTAAAGTATAAAACACAGACATAACGCACAATCTGCTCACATCGACTTCAGTTATCTGTCTGTCAACTAGCAAGCATTAGGAAAAAATGATACCGAACTCACCACGTAAAAGCCCTGGAAGACATAATGCGCTTTGTCCTCGAAGACAGAACCTAAATGTTGTGAATAATGGCGAAGAACCATCCGGCTCGCGGCGTACACGTGCGCACCTATTTAACAGAAGAGTAAATCCCACAACAGCTTGCAAATTAAAATCACAAAATACCGTTAATAGACAGCCACTCAGACAAATTGATACTAGCTCCACAGAGACGGCAAAAAATTATTTGATTCGCCTTAAATTCTTAAACACTGATCCAGTAGAGCCATTAAACCCAAGTACAGAAGCAGAATATCCCAGGGACACCACTCTTACGTTAGAAGCCCAACGAGACCACAATGCCAAGCAAGCTACTATAGTTCTCGGACCGCATGGCACCACTGTACCGAAGGAGAGTTTTGATAAAATCGAATGGACTTCAGCCTCACAAGCAACACGTAGCCTCTTGATGTTGGTATTCGATGTAGATAGATTTGTTGAAAACTTCCGCAACAGATGGGGTGCGGTTATGTCCAGAGCTAGCTTAGATCAATTGAAAGCTAGGGATATTATCCACTGTGTACGTTCGAAATTAAATTGTTTGGTGAAAGAAGTATATTTGACTTATGTGGCAAAACCGAAGACTGATACAAATTTAAATGACGATTCTGTCGAAGAAAATGGTCAATAAATGTGTGTTTTTAACCGTGTAACGTACCTATCTGTATGTTTTGTCACCAATTATTATATATAATGAAATATATATATTTTCCACTTAATCGCCATATGATCTTCTATATTAAATATTCTTCTATATAGTATTTTGTAATTTTTCAAATAATTTCATTGGTATAAAAATATAGTTTTTCAAAGATTATTCATTATTTATAAATTTAATTATATAATTTAAGGAATATATTTTGATTTCTCTACCTCATGTGTTCTCATACCATTTTTCTTAATATATATTTCAAATATATATTACTTACATGTGGGGCGGAAATACTTGCATAATTTTGGGCCCTGGCATTTTGCAATGAGAGAAAAAGAGAAAGAAAATATGCCTGCTTGCCTCTCAATCCCTCTCTCCCATATCATTCTCGTGGAACGCAGGCTAATACTCACACCTATGTAATGTAAGGAGCAATGAGAGAGACAGAGAGAGAAAAATGAAATGTACAGGCCGCACGGTCCTATGGTACATCGATGGATTTACTCTTGACTCTATGCGTAAAACTCAATATAAGTGTGACCATAGGCACAAAAGAATATGAAGGAATTGGTCTGCTTGAGTATTAGATATTCAAACGTAACTCTCTCTTTCTCTCTTTATCTCTCCCTAAACTTCCGTTTGCCTTGCCGGATCACACTGTTCATAGAGCCGGATCATACTTATGGATGTAACTCGATTTCTCTCTCTCTTTCTGCTGTTCTCACCAACGTATAGGGTTATCTATTTCGTGGTTTAAAAAGTACAGAGCTATATCCTTGCAAATGGCGAGACTGTCAGTACCAACTCGGATAACAGACTTTTTTCGCCTAGAATTGAAGAGCGCAACCTGGACAGTATGTGGTTTCAAAAATATGAGGCCAAAAGCCACACAACATTTCCCGGCTGCTTGATCTCTCGTCTTGGAAACACCAATCGGGCACCGAAATGGTACATTAGCGAAGCTATGGTTGTGATACCGCCCTGTAGGTCCGGTCGAAATTTACAGTGGCGTTGGAACCGCTTACGCCTTTAGTGCCGAGTCAAAAATATCACGCCATTTATTCCTTCTTTTTTTCATCCAAAATTATGCTTTATATCAACTTTAATATTACGTTCAGAAAAAAATAATTTTTTTTTGAAGCAAAAAACGGAGATTCCATTAAACGCGAAGAGTTTTCATAAATTTCAAAAAAAATAATATTTTCCCCACAACTTAAATATTTTTTTCATCAATAATTATGCTTCATATCAACTTCAATATTACGAACACAAAAAAATAAAAAAATAAAATTAAATAAAAAAAAATGATGTAAAAAAAAGAATTCCATTAAACACAAAGCGTTTTGATCGATATTAATAAAATAATTTTTTCCCCCGCGTCAGCCATTGGCAAGTTATAAAGCGCGAGTTTATTACATTCCCTATTCAAATTACTTTCAGTTGCTAAGCTGCCAACTTCGATGCTTGTATGCACTCGTCTTCATATTTACATATATACATACACATTTGATAATGGAAACAAATACTTACCATACACAGGAAGAGCTTCGGCAAATGGATATCGATCTCACCGAACTCGAGAAACGATGTAAAGATGCCAATAGTATTGACTCGCCATGTGAAAGTCCAACCAAGGCATTAACGCAAATTACACAGGACTATGCATTACAAAATAATTGTAATGAGAATAGTAAAGAAATTCAAAGTGACAACGAAAAGCAAAACTGCAATTCAAATCTGAAAGTGTCGGAACCTATCGCTCACGAAAAGCTCGACTATAATAATTTAGCCCTTGAAAGAGTACAGAAAGCTGAGCCGTCTCTTTGGGTAATAGGTCCCAATGGCACATCTCTATCCCAAAGATGGTTTTCTTATCAAAAATTTTGGACTAGTCCTTCAATTGCCACCCGAGATCTTTTGATATTATTATTCGACCATGAAACTCTTGCCACACGCTGCTATGGCCAACTTTATAGGCGCAATAAACTAATATTAGACCCATTAAAAATGTGGGATATTATTTGTTGCGTACAAGAGAGGTTCAATTGTACTTTGTTCGTGATTCTTGTGGCCATTTCTGCAACGTGCCATGAAGCGGCGAGGAAGAGAAAGAGGAGAATTCAAAAAAAAAATTTACAAATCTATTAAATTTTCGTATGAAGGTGAAAGACCTCGACGATACCGACTTCACAATCCAGAAAGAGAGAGAGAGAGAAAGAGAGAGAGAGAGAGAAAGAGAGAGAGAGAGAGAGAGAGAGAGAGAGAGAAAGAGAGAGAGAGAAAGAGAGAGAGAGAAAGAGAGAGAGAGAAAGAGAGAGAGAGAAATAGAGAGAGATAGAAAGAGAGAGAGAGAAAGAGAGAGAGAGAAATAGAGAGAGATAGAAAGAGAGAGAGAGAAAGAGAGAGAGAGAAATAGAGAGAGATAGAAAGAGAGAGTGAGAAAGAGAGAGAGAAGGAGTGAGAGAAAAAGAGAGGGAGAGAAAGAGAGAGAGAGAAAGATATAGAGAGAAAGAGAGAGAGAAAGAGAGAGAGAAAGAGAGAGAGAGAGAAAAAAAGAGAGAGAAAAAAGAGAGAAAGAGAAAGAGAGAGAGAGGGAAAGAGAGAGAGATTTCAATGAACTTCCAACAGAGTGCTATCTTTATATTTCTAAGTCATAGCCAAGCGACTAATTAATCTTTACGATTTCAAAATTGAAGCAACCTGTGCATATGTATATCATTGTAGTTCCTCGATATCTTTCCGAAGGTAATTATTCTAGCTATATGTTAATTAAGGCTTCTGACCCATTTCTGACCAAGAATAAAGCACTTATTCTTTCCTTTTTCTATTTATAAAAGCAAAAATATACAAAAATTCAAGGAAATCAGAATTTAATACAAACAAATTTGTTTCATTTTTCATACAAAGCGATATTAAAACTGTGTTCTTGTACTTAAGAATCTTATGAATGTTTAAAATAAATTTTATTCCTACAAAAAAAAAAAATAATAATAATAAAAATTGTGAAATTAAAATAAAGTCGCTTCTCTTGCGGTTGAAAGTTTATTTGAAATCATCAAGTTTCGTGTATCTTATATAAGCAAAGAGATAATAAATTATTGCTGGAGCTAGCTCATAGTTGAAGACAGTTAAAGAAGTGTTTTTCGGGGGAAAGCTGGCGAGGCACGATCCACCATCATCCACTATTGGTGGAAAGTCCTTGTTTCTTACTGAAATAAAGAATATGGTCAGAAAATCCTTGTTTCCGATCCCAAAAATAACCGAACTTTTTGGATATAAAATAAAATACACGTTATATTATCTTTGAAAGTTATTATTTATTCAAAATAGGTTTCATTTGACTCAACACAACGTTTGGAACGATAAACTAGCGCATGCATAGATTTTTTTATGTCATTTATAGAAATGTTCTTCATTACCTCGGTTACGACTGCTTGAATGTCTGGGATATCATCATAAATTGCTCCCTTCACCTTGGTTTCCAGTTTTGGAAATAAAAAATAGTCACATGGTGATAGATCAGGCGAATACGGAGGATGGTCGATGAGAGAAATCCCTTTTTTCATTAAAAATTCGATCGATTTTGTGGTCGTCATTTAATTCATGTGGAATAAATCGCGCACAGACCTTTCTTTTCCCCAAATCTTCAGTTAAAATTCTCCAATAGTGTTTATACTCGTATTCAAATCCTCAGCCAACATTCTCGTAGTAAAATTTGCATCGATACCAATGATTTCACGGACTTTTTCCACCAGTTCCGCACGATTACTAGTTTCTGGACGTCCTGCTCTAGGGCCGTCATTTAAATCCTCACGACCATTTTTAAATCGTGTAAACCACGTATAAACTTGCTTACGACTCATACAATCATCACAATAAACTTTTTTCATTAATTTTTTTTTTCAAGTTTGACACAAAATTTTATATTTGCTCTTTGTTCCATTTTATTTTTGAACCATTAGCACGCTCTCGGTTTTATTGAAATGGCTGTCACTTTACATCTGTCATCCGATTTACGTGATGTTAGGGACGTTTGAAACAGGATGAATGTATCTTTTTAATGTTGTAAATTTTCAATAGATGCCGCTGTATGTTGTATGATTTAAATATACAGTTCGGTTATTTATGGGACACTGTATTACCGTCACAAAGAGTGCTTAAAATCAGAGTAGGACAGGCGGAAGAGCCTTGTAACTGTTCTGCCCTACTAATAGGTTATTAAGCGTAGTCGGAAAAAACAAGTTTCGGGTCCGAGCTAGCATTTTATGTTACTAACTACATTTGACGGCGCGCTCTATGCTCATCTTGCCTAAGACGCTTCTTTATTTGTACAATTTTCACTGCCCATCTCATCCGTAAATACACTTTCTGTTGTCAAAAGGGTGCAGCTGCCACATCTGTTTAGGTTGATAACTACGCGAACTTTACGATTCACCCAACCTATACAGTTGCAACCAGTCTCCTCCAAGATTTGTGCATTTCGCACGAGGGATTTAAAGTTGTTTTGTATGTGCCCTGATGGATTGTCGATCGCACGTTCTTTAAATTTACTTCCACGAAGTTGGGCAAGCAAGTTATCCAAAATTCACTATGGTCTGTTGGAGGCCTATTTTAACTCATCCTTAGTGCATCGAATTTTCTCAGCTTTTGTTTGCATAAAAAATGCAAGGAAAATATTCAACAACAACTACACTGGTGAGAAAAATATTTGCATTTACAGTAAAGAAAGAATATGTCGAGCTCCGCACTTGCATTGTCAAAGCAAACGATTTCAACCAAGATATATGAAGCTGAGTAAATATGTATAAATATACTCTATCATACGCGTATGTTTATCGGTCACTACATCTTTTATTATTGATATTTACGTCATTTCGTAATACATATGTATATACATCAATAAACTGCGTATTTTTCCCTCAGCGTGACATGCAAATGAGCTTTAAGTAGGTTTATTAACTCAGATTTTTTCCTTCATTACAAACATTTTCATTGTTCTTTTCTCTTCATTATGTGTTCGTGCAGTTGATTTTTAATTTTACGCATTTCATTTAAATTCGCACATTCCTATAATATTCACTACCTTGCGCATTCGTTCTTACATATTTTATTTTTATTTTTTCCCTTCCCTTCGTGATCGTTGTTAATTTCGCATATTTTTCATTGCATTGCCCTCAATTGTTGCCGATTATTGGCTTTATTGCTGCTGAAGCTCATGATGTTTGCGAAAATATTTGTAATTCATTCTCATTATGAAGTAATTTTTTCAAGATATTTATGTAGATATATATTTATATATATATATAAATATACATTGAATATTTATTATCGTTCTGATAAAAGCACAAAATGGAAAGAAAATGCAGCAAAAGAATTAAATTAAATCAAAATGAAATGAGCGCATGAAGGTTAATACGAAAGGCAAGAGATAAAAAATTAAATAAGAATCAAAATAAAATAAAATAAAATAAACTAAATTAAATTAAATTAAATTAAATTAAAATAAAATAAAATAAACTAAATTAAATTAAATTAAATTAAATTAAAATAAAATAAAATAAAATAAAATAAAATAAAATAAAAAAAATAAAATAAAATGAAATAAACTAAAATAAAACAAAGTTAAGTAAAATAAACTAAAATAAAATGAAGGAAAATAAATGAAAACATAATAAAGTAAACTGAAATAAAGTTAAATAAAATATATTGAAACAGGACACAAAATAAGAAAAATATAAGATAAAAAATAGAGAAAAAATTAAAATAAATTAATATGAAATAAAGTGAGACGATGCCAAATAAAGTAAAACGAATTAAATACAATGAAAGAACGAAATGAAATGTATTTAAATAATACAAAATATAATGAAATGAACTAAAAAAAAATAAATTTAATTGAGACTAAATGAAATGAAATTGAATGGGATAGAATGGAATGAGCTGAAATGAAATAAAATAAGTTGAAATAAAATGAAATGAAATGAAAAGAAATGAAATAAATTAAAAATAAATAAAAACCTATTACAAAAATTTATAGTATGGCCGCAAAAACAATTATGAAATTAAATTAATTTAAAGTAATTCAAAATTCTTTAAAACCTAAAAATAAAAATGATTAAAATGGTTCTTTAGTTTATGAGAGTAGCTTACTCTTCCAGTTTTTCGTAGATGAGAAGAGATTGCCCACAAATAGGAAGATTTTTGTGATTTCTCATACCTTTTTGTACTTACTACCAGTTTGAATTCATTTTTTACTCCATATTTTCGATACTTTCAACTAATAAGTAATCATTTTCAAAAACTTTTCAAACCAAATATTTACAAACTCAAATGTACCTACAACAATTACATAAGTAGCTACCAGTTACATAATCATTTGAAACTTTAGTAAAATGCAAGCTCATTAAAATGCTAGAGAATCTCGTTTAGTGCAAGCAAATTGCATTTTCCATTTGCTGCAAAAGGGACAAATGTAACAAACTGCATAAGAGTAGCTATGACAACAACAATAATAGCTTCATTATAGAGCGCAGACTGTCAGTAAAAAGTTTGTTCATTTTAACTGTACGGAGTTTGTCATTCCAGGCAAATTGTGAAATGGGCGTAATGCAGGGAGGAAACGGAAGATTGCATGAAAAATTGATGGAAAAAAAAACGAAATATAAAATATGAGAGGAATTCATAATATTTTAATGAAATTCAAACATATCAATAAAATTTATTCAGCATATCAATCGATAGCTTAAAATACTGCTAATAAAACAGTATGGAAAATATATTTTTTTTGAACTTGGGTGTTTTTTTTCTTAATATTCTTAAATTACAAAAAAAAATATTACAATTAAATGTATATAATTTTGTTTAATTTAGTTAATTCGATTTTTTACTCCGACTTCATTGCTTTTCTCAATAAGTAATTGATTAAATATGGATATTTTTTTTTGGACAGTACAGTTTGTATGCACAAGCCTTGTGCGCTCACGTGCAAATCCTCTTCATTTTAGTACCACCCGCAGCGCTTGGTACTGCTCATTTTCTCTCGCGCTTTTAATCTGCCGCTCATTATTGCGAGTGCTGTCCTTCATTCTTAGCTCTCATTAAAGTTTGCAATACAATGTATTGTAGCTGCTAAAATGTTTTTGTGATTAATTACAATGATGAGTTACCACATAATCACAAAACTTGCAACTCTAACATTTAAAAAAAAAAATTGTTTTTATTATTTTATTAATTTTTAATATTTGGTTTGATTACTCACTC